ACGTGCCCGTGAATATGCTCCGTCAGACGCGAACGTGCTCTGCCCTATTGTTAACGTGCCCGTGTATATGCTCTGTCAGACGCGAACGTACTCTGTTCTGTTGTTAACATGCCCGTGTATATGCTCCGCCAGACGCGAACGTGCTCTGTCCTGTTGTTAACGCACCCGTGAACGTGCTGTTAGACGCAAACGTGCTCTGCCCTCTTGTTAACGTGCCCGTGAATATGCTCCGTCAGACGCGAACGTGCTCTGTCCTGTTGTTAATGCACCCGTGAACGTGCTGTTAGACGCAAACGTACTCTGTTCTGTTGTTAACGTGCCCGTGAATATGCTCCGTCAGACGCGAACGTGCTCTGCCCTATTGTTAACGTGCCCGTGTATATGCTCTGTCAGACGCGAACGTACTCTGTTCTGTTGTTAACGTGCCCGTGAATATGCTCCGTCAGACGCGAACGTGCTCTGCCCTATTGTTAACGCTCCCGTGAACGTGCTCTGTCAGACGCGAACGTACTCTGTTCTGTTGTTAACATGCCCGTGTATATGCTCCGTCAGACGCGAACGTGCTCTGCCCTATTGTTAACGTGCCCGTGTATATGCTCCGTCAGACGCGAACGTGCTCTGTCCTGTTGTTAACGCACCCGTGAACGTGCTGTTAGACGCAAACGTGCTCCGTCCTCTTGTTAACGCACCCGTGAACGTGCTCCGTCATGTGCTTACCTGTAGTATTGCTCGTCCGTCTGCCCCTCCTCGCGAGGCACGTAGTACGGCACCAGGTACGGACATTTACGCTGGAAGTGCGCCAGGATCAGGTCCCCGACCGACGGAAACTTGCACCAGATCTCCACGGCGACGGCCGCGATCGCAAACGCCGACTCGTGATTGGACGCTACCTGTTCGTCTCCTTGTCTCTGAAATACCGCGGGCAAGGTTACATTTTAATCAGATAAAACTTATCGTTAATTATTTTTTTCAGGTTAATTAATTAGTAAATTAAAATAATTAAATAGTACGTGCTATTAATTATATTACTGAGTAATTTCATTATATTTATTAAATTTGCAATTGTAGTAAATTTTCTAAATTAATCTCTTAGTTTGTGAAATTAAATTAATTAAATCAACTACAAAATTAATCTAGATAAATTAGTTAGATAAATAATTTGTTACTAAGTTAAATTTAGGGCGTACATTTTAACAAACATACAATAATATACACATACACATAACAAACATTTGAACAATCTTCGCGACACGACAATCGCCGACGCCGACGAATACTCACGACTATCTTGCGAGCGAAGAGGTTGTGCACGTAGACGAGGCCCTGCGCGTGGTCGCGCGCCGACACGCGCCGCCCAGCCACCTCCACCGTCTGTCCGTCGAGCAGACGAGCGATCCGATGAAGTTTGTCTTGGAGGTGGCCGCCGGACGCAGGAGAGATGGAGTTGACGGGTGTGTTGACGGCTCGCGTGAGATCGAAACGTAGCTTCTTCAGCTGTTAGAACATAGAGAGAGTGAGAGGAGGAGAGAGAGAGAGAGAGGGGGGGGAGAGAGAGAGAGAGAGAGAGAGAGAGAGAGAGAGAGAGAGAGAGAGAGAGAGAGAGAGAGAGAGAGAGAGAGAGGGGGGGTGGGCACCGGACTTGCGTTGACGGGTGTGTTGACGGCTCGCGTGAGATTGAAACGTAACTTCTTCAGCTGTTGTTAAACATAGAGAGAGGGAAAGAGAGAGAGAGAGAGAGAGAGAGAGAGAGCGAGAGAGAGAGAGTGCGCGTTCTAGAGGTGGTGTTAGGGTGGAGGGATACAGCCGGGGGCAGAGAGAGGGAGAGCGAGAGAGAGAGAGAGATGTAGCCGCGGTAGCCTACATTCTCCGCCAACCTCTCTTTCCGCTGACGGTTGAGTTTTTTCACCCGTTTTTTACGCAGTGCACGTGCGCTCGTTCACTGCTGCCGGTGAAGGAAGGGAGAGAGGGAAAGTGATAGAGAGGGAGAGAGGGAGAGAACGAGAGAGGGGGAGAGAGAGGGAGAGAGAGGGGGAAAGAGATAGGGGAGAGAGAGAGAGAGAGAGAGAGAGAGA